GTCACGCAGTCTACCTGAATGATTCATGAGACTATCGAATGATGAAATCTTGCTTTCATAAGTTGTATATTGACTGTGATATGACTGACACTACACCTCAAGTTTCAAAACATAAAATAAAAGAAAATAGACACAAGTGTGTGGCATCCATAACAAAGGCATGCCTGTGTCAAGTCAGTCTGTAAAGATGACTTAGATACATACTGTAACATGTTTGAAGCCACAACTAACCACATGTCCGAGCAACATGCAGAAAGTCAAAACCGAATAATTACACAGGCAAGGAGAAAGAAAAGAATCTTTTTTTTTATCTTTGATAGTCGATCATCCTCAAGATTTTCTTGACTAATCCTTAGATACGCGTCTTGCTGCCAAACCAATTTGTCCTAACAGCGAAAACCCTAGCTAGACCAAAAATCAAGGCTCGACAGAGCGTATCCGATGGATAAACTCCAGAGTTCCTAACGATCGGGAGGGCGATCGATCAACGGAAGAACACGAGAGAACAAGCATCATAAAGAAACTAACCGACAACGAAAAAAAGAAAATCAAGATCCATCTCGGAAAAAAATAAAATAAAGAAACGTACATCAAGAACCCAATTTCCAATCTTCTTTTGGCTCTCGAGAAAAGAGGGAACCATTGGTCTCTAAATTAAATGATGGTCTTTAACTAACAAGACTTTAGTGCACCAAACCAAACAATTTTAACAAAGAAACAATATCTCACAGACACACACAGAGAATGACATTGCGTGCTCCTTCATCAGCTGATTAAGATATTAGGATAAGCAGACAGGAGAGTGTCAGATATAGTATTGTTAAAAAGGAATTTAATATAACAAAATTGATATCTTGCATCTTTACTTATATATGGCAGGTCAGAACTTATCATATAAATGTAATCACAATCCAGGAAGTCACAGTTGACATTGCATCCAACATAAAGTGTTTCCTATTTGAGAGCAGGCTAAACTCGTTAAAATAAGCTACGACATTCAGAATCCAAGAAATCATCCTCTTCCTTAAGTTCATGTTACATAGCCTTTACAAGACCTGCAATCCTTGTCAGTCATGTGCAAGGCACTGAAATAAAATATCATCTTCCAAGCAAAACCAGATCATCGTTTCAATCTACCCTTTCGATAAATACCATACAGCAGCCATTCCTCTCATAAATCACTAATAAATATATGTGCTCAATCTAATTCAAGATTTGCACGATTATAAACATGACTTTATCCATCACCAGATAGAATCAATACCACACAGCAGTCATCCCCCTAATAAGACACTAAGAATACATGACATCGATCAAAATCAAGACTTTGTATGAGTCTAAACATGACTATTCCTTTCACCAGATAGAATAATATATTATGTGATCTGGGGATTCATTCAGTATAAATCGATGTTGCCTTTGGTACATCAAAAGTTGCAACCTCTAGATCCATAAATCACAGCATCGATTAGACAAAATTACCAGCAAATAAAACTAAAACTAGCACAAGAAGTCACAAATCGTCGTTGCAACTCAACTCCATCCACTTTGACTTAAGTGCTAAACACACCAATTCTTGTGAATATGCATCTAACTAAAGAAGATTACAGCAGGAAATATCAAATCCAGCTCAATTTGACCCCAAATTACGTCTAGAGAGAAAGAATCTGAGATCTGCCATCAGGAAAACCAGAGATCAAACTCCCAATACTTGGAAGTAACATCCAAATAGAGAAAGTTTGTACCAAAAACAGCAGGAAACAACGCACAAGTATCGATCGATTGAGAGGCTACACAAAGCATCATGTAATGGCAAAAGGCACTGGCAACTCCCGGTCATTTTGATCAAATCAAAAACCTAAAGATGTCCAAAAAACTAGAGAGGTGGGTTAGGCTTAATAATGCGTATGATTATGGTTGATCCTTGAGAATGTTATCTGTGGATCTACCATCAAACTATCATAGGAAAAGCAAGTATACTCAGGAAACATACTAGTTACAAGATTCTTTTAAATGACAGTTCAAATGCTGACTTTGGCAAGGAGACTCATGATCGAAAGCATGGGATTGTTGCTTTTGTCTCTTGGTCTATTTTTTTTCAACGCAGTGTAGTAGTTTAAATTTGATCTGCACATAAATCTTCCCAGCAGTTTGAGATACAGCTCAATATGGACCTAGAATTCCTAGTAAATATTATCTGTAAGTTAAATAGTGAATCTTGTATTTGTTATGGACTAAGCTATTGTAGCACACTTTGTGCAATCTAAAAAGGCATCATTTTGGAGTGGAGATATTATCACTGTGACATGTTGTGACCATGTAAAGAGCTCTTTGATGTAAAAGAAACTTTAAAGTGATTCTCAGACTTCAATATATTGTATACCAATGTATCATCCTGAGAAATTTTTTTGATTATGCATGTATTGCTAATAGAATCTTGTTACTGTTTGCTTGGGCAGTGTGATGTGCATCCTGCTTGAGTGTTAGAATTGAATGCATGCATCTGAAAGCCAAATTTCAAATGCATGCATGGAACAGCCTAACACTAATCTTTCTGACAATTGCGTTCAAGGGAAAGGGGGGATGTATCCTTGCGACAGGGACTCGACGCTTGGAACACAATTAACATAAAATAAAGCACGAGAAACTTACATCGATTGGAAGATGTGAGAGAACGTCACGTGTTAGGCTGTTCCATTTATTAGTAATTAATTTTTCATGATTTCAGCAAAAATTCAGTGATGGATCAGATCAGGGCTATGATCCTCCCTAAATTAACCCTGCACGAGGAAGAGCAAAAGAGCATATAGAATTATCACTATATTACAGATCAAAGCTTAATATACTAAAGTGTCTCGAACCACCCTCGCAGTTAGTAAAGCATCTCCGAATACATCATCTTCTAAAGAAACTAGAAATGGATTTGTAAATAATCAGTAAAAACCTCTTTTCATCATGAGAAAAATCAAATTAAAGCTTGAACGTTGTCATCAGTGCACAAAGAATCACATACACGACCTAAAAGCCATTCTCCACAACAATCCCAACCATTTGCAATGAAAAAAAGTCGAAGAGACAAAATAAAAGTCGAGAAAAGGGAAAACATGTTACCCCCAAAAGCAGCAAAGACGAGCATTGGATTCAATCCAAGAGATTATATTCTCTTCGAACAAAATCCTCAACCTCGATGATTCCCGGGTTGTAGAGGACCGAATTCGGAGATCCGGGTCCCGAAAGAGACCTCTCGGAGCGGCGCAAGATCACAGACCCGGTACCCTAAAAGGAAGAAGCGGAGAGAGACGGAAGGAAGAAAGGCAGAGGGAAATAGTAGGGTGGTCCGAGAGAAAGGAAACGAGAGGAA